TCATAGATTTGATACGAAGTCGAAGTATCTATCTACTAGCGCAATAAATGTTGTCGCCATTTCGCCTTGGTATAGTGTTTCATCTTTCTTGCATTCAGTGCGTATTTCGAGAAAATGTGGACATCTCCTCCCGTAGTATCCGGATAAATTAGGGAACATCGGGGAAAGCCTTGGGGGAATAAGGGAAATCGCGAGAAAATCGCAAGGGATCACTTGAAATCTAAAAGAAATCTAAGAAATCAACGCGAAAAGAGAAATTTCCAACTTTTCACAGTAGAGAATCCGTGACAACCTAAAAAACTTTATTTCTGGTATTTACAATCACCAATAAACCAAATGAATCGGGTCAGTAACTACTTTACATTTATGGCATAAGTTGTTAAATTCCTGTCGATTGTGTTTGCTAGTGAAAGAACCTTTCTTGTACATTTCAATTGTACAATTGTTTAGAACGCAAAAGAAAAATTGAGCAGACGCGATGTAGGTAATGAAAGCCGCGCTGTGAGAAGGAAGTTCAATTTCCTAAGAGCTCGTGAATTATTAGTTCATGTCGCACAACGCGAATTATTTAGACGTTGTCACGTATAAATTGTTGTCTGTTCTACCTACAAACAAACAAACATCTACACTTAAGCGCCCACCGTACTATTTAAGAGGATCTATTTTTCTTAGTTCAAAGGGCGTCTAATAATAAACCACCCTTCTTATAAAAACACAATATTGCGTATCTTCATATTATCGTTTTACTTTGCACGTGATAAAACATCTACCCTAGTAAACCCTAAATTATACGATTAAAAATATCTTTATATCCTAATATCATAACAATCCTGGAGATTAAAAATGCATGAAGATTTAACTATTAAGCATAAAGAAGTTGCATAAAACCGCCCTTACTTTCATTACCATTTTTAATGAAAAATAGGACTTTCCCAATAATGAGAATATGAAAAAATATCGGCATTGGATATATGTAGGTATATTTCTGAAAAATGGTAAGGGCAAAATAAATTCGAAAATGTGATCTGACCTGCATAGGCACTTCACATTCTATTTAAAACTCATTCGGTGTTGAATTGGTACCCTGGCTGCTGTGATCTTGAATTATCAAAAAAATAATTTTTTTGCTCATGGGATTTACATAATATATTCTGACTATAATAAGCAAAAATAAATAAAAAGTGCGATTGGACATCGAAAATATTTGCTTTTACCAAAGTTATAGCGATTTGATTGAAAGCTTTCAGGGGCAAAAATTAAGGGGATCATTGGTTTTCTTCAAATAAAAACAAATATGGAGTGTGATATGTTCCCCCGGTTAGTTTGCAAAGAGGATCAAAATCTTGGAACAGTTTTATGGCAATAGTCCATGGCTCCTCGTTCGGTGCTTCCTGGGAAACGATAGAGCTGAAAATTATGACGAGCTGACAGGATTTGGTTTTGAGCTTATTCGGAAGAACAAGGGGAACACTTTCATCAAGACATAGGTAATGGAATTTGGGCATGTTACTAAAGCCAGTACGCTGGAAGTACGATGGAAGATCATATTTGGGGGGTTGATAAGAAAAACTCTGGAAGTACGATGGAAGATCATATTCCTATTCCTATTGGGAAAATGCTATTAAGTTTTTAACGGGTAAGAATTTTAAACCGTGTTGGAAATGAGTCTGTAGAGGAAAAAACGTTCGCGAGTGGCGCTTAGTCCTTCAGCGCTTGAGGGCGGTTAAAATCGCTCACGAGCGAAATAAAACCTTCAGGCGCGGAAAAGGCGCTCGGAAGCGGAGAAAACCGCTCGCGAGCGGGAAAAGCACTCGCGAGCGGAAAAAGAGCTCGCGAGCGACAAAAGAGCTTGCGAGCGAAAAAAAACGCTCATGAGCGGAAAAACCGCTCGCGGGCAGAAAAAGCGCTCGATGCTGACCAAGAGAATAGCTGATATCAGCCCTCGGTCACCATATACCCATTCCCTTCTGTTTTCGGTTAGGGACCCGTCTGTAAACCACACGAGGCCCTTAGGTTTGAGGAAGGGCAATCTGATAGTTCAGAGTGCTTCCATCCTTCTACTCGTCCCAATTGTTTAGCTGTATTTAAGGCTGCAGGGCGTTTGCTTCCACCGCTAAGCGTAAGGGCTCTAGTCCCAGAAGTGCTACCATGGCCAAAAGTGGCGTGGTTTTTATGGTTCCAGTGGCGTGGTTTTTATGGTTCCAGTGACATTTAAACAGTCTTTGTATCTTACCTATCTGCTTCCGGTAGGTTATGCCCTGCGTATGGCAGGCCACTATACAAGTGCACTCAGCACTGTACAGTATAATTTGCCTTATCACTGGTATATTAGCAGCTGAAGGATCAAGCCCTTCTATGTTACCTATGTTACCACAGAAGGTTCTCCATGATCCTCGTTTAAACCTTGAAATATGGTCGTTCTGCACTGTGCAATCTTGAAATCGTCCCAGTCAATAGCCAGCTGAGCTCGCCTGGCCCTATTAAAGAACCTGCAAACCTTCTTACGAACCTTTTCAAGGTCTGAGTATGCCACTAGGGGGTTCTCTTCATTTCTCGACCACAGTTTCAAGCTGTTTTCTCATTGATAATTTTTGGTATTATCATTGAATTTCATGCCACAATTTGTTATTATTTATATTTTACAGAGAATATTTGTTATTGAATCCAGGCCGACTCCATGTGCTTTGGTAGACCGTTATATGAATCATGTTTGTTCGTTTTGCTGCACAGGTGATTATTGTTTATTAAGTATTTATTTATATATTCACGAGGAAGTTTATTATCAGGGTGATATATTCTGCTTGGTTGAATTTAACTATTCTATGCTATTGGCATTCTCACATGTACTTTGCTGTTAAATTAATTTATGGTAATTGAGAGTAGAGCCACGCAATTTTGCTGTTTTCTTATATATATGCAATTTATCATTTCACGCGAGTTGTAGTTATATGTTTTAATGTGTTGTTATACTGAATTGATTGATCATGTTTTCCCCTTGGATTTATCATGTCTCATGAGTTTTACTGCATTTGATTCGATTACTTCATTTTTACCATACAATTTGAGAAGTTGTATTATTTGTGTATCTTCTCTTTGTTGTTGTAGGAGGTTCATTTCGTGTATTTGTGTGTGTTATGATAGGTGTTTCTTTTGCTTGCTGGTTCTTTTTTTTCTGGCTTTTCGGTTTGGATTTACTTCGCAGAACCAAGCTTCGTGCGTAATAAATTTCATTTCTCTTATTCCCTTCTGTCTTTTATTTAATTCCCTTTCCGATTATGCCTCACGTCCCAACACATAAAAGAACCGATTACATAACGTCTCATTCGTGCCTCTCCATCCCAGTCGAACCCTATCGAGATTTAAAACGGCGAATCGTCGTCGTTTTGACTTGAAAGGTAAGTATAGAGTAAGTCAACGTTTGCAGTATAGATTTGGAGAACCTCTAAGATCACTACACAATCCTAAAATCCTTCATCGGCTTTCTTTATGCCTTGCCATATAAACAGAGGATATCGCACGCCGAAAACCCGAGTAGAAAATAGGCTTAGCTTAAGCATAATCCATGGCAATGGAAGAATGGAGAATGGAGAATGGTTGTCATGGATTTTAAGCAACGCTTAAACTAAACTCCACTTAAATTTATCAGTGCATACGGCCAAAAAATTAAAGATAAGCTATTATTAGACCATTCTACCTTTATCTTTTTATTTTATAAGAACTATTTTATTTATGTATTTATTGCCCCTCTCTTGTTCTGGGTCCTCAACAGGCTTTCGCCCAATAATGCTTTTTAGGGGTGACCCTGTAGAAGGTCTTAAAATTTGTTCTATACTACTCCCGTAGTTACCTTACGTAAGGTGACCAGACGTACTCTTTTTAAGAGTAATGTTCTCTTTTCTGACCTATTGTTCGGTGTACTCTTACTTTTTAATTAAATGGAAAAAATGTTCTCTATTTCGCAAAAGGGAAACAACAACCAACGCTTTGGTTCGCCTTTACTAAAATTAAATTAAATAAAAAATAACACAGTCATTTGCCTCGTAAGAGTCGTAACTCGTCCTTGCGCACCGAATGCACGTTCAGCACTTTACGGGGGAATTTTCATATTGCACTGCACTTGCTTCTGTAATTTTATGGTAGAAACTTCGCTGTCTTAACTTAAAAAAGTAAATTTACTTTGTGTTTACTTTATGCCTTGCGATATGCGTACGTGGTATATGCATTTTTTTTATTTTTAGTAATTTTGAAGGTGTATTTTCAGTAGCGGTGAGTGTAATTACTCTTCTATCACCATTTGAAGAGCCTGAGAACTAACCCTACGTCACACCCAATCGATTATTGCAACACCTGTTCGTTGTACTCTTTTAATATCTAATATTTCTGGTCACCCTACTTACGAATTAGGAAAACATTTTCGGAGTAGCCAACAGAATGCTTGAAACTGATCTAAGGAAGTTCCCATCTCTGCCACAGGTGGAAGCCCAACACTATACCACTGAGTTACACAGTCGGTCAACTATTAAGCATTATAGAAGCTGCATAAACCCGCCCTTACTTTCATTAGCATTTTTAATGCAAAATAAGACTTTCTCAATCATATGAAAAATATCGGCATTGAATATATATTTCTGAAAAAGGGTGATGACAAAATTTAAATTCGAAAATTTGGAACTGTATAGGCTATATTGACTGTATTGACTATATACCTTTAGTCGTGCAATGTTAAAAGTGATTGAATTTGAAAGGTTTTGCTTTTCTTGGATGTTTTAATCATTATATAGGAGCCCTATACCTTAAATATTAAATTGTGTCTAAACGAGCTTGTAATGAATACTTTAGAGTTTAGGTGTATTTATTTACCCTATCGGAGCCTTAAAAGCAATCCGGCTTTCAAGGCATATAAGCCGCCCTGTATAGTAAGGCAGTATTCAGCTACTTCCAAATCGTACATTGATCGCACCTCGTAAGAAACGGATCTGGCAACACTGTGTAATGTAACCTACAAATTAATCTTTTCCTAACTTTTTCTTTTAATTATAAATTATTTTTCAAATAAGAAATAAATTAAGTTTTAAAGTTCTGTTTATAAATGCTGTGTCGTTGTTAATCGAACATGAGGCGCTTTCTTTCGGTGATCCAAACGCGTTTGGATTGTCAAATCAGGTTCTTTCGAAGTGTGATCTTATAATCATGATTGCTAAAATCGTGAACAAACTGAACATAAAGCTACATTTACATTCAATTCAAAGTCCAAGCCCAATTTGTCAAGTCGCAAAACACCATATACATTAAAGATTTGGCGGCAAATTTCTAACCTTAAAATATTAATGCTTAAAAGTAAAATACGAGTTAAATAAATGAATATTGTGCAAAAAACTGTGTTGTTAGGATCTCTGGACATGGCTATAGGTTCAATTGCATACCGAAATTTTAAAAAAGGCAGTCTCTCGTAGTATTTTATTGCTATAATCTTTACTGGTTTGATTGCATATGGCAGGATAATTACATATTGACTTTAAAAATAATTCATCATTAATCTGAGGCAAATAATTTTCTTTTCCCTTCTCTTGGAGATCCATTTCGACTACCGCGTACTATCACATTTGTACACAAACAAACTGAAATACTGTCAAATTCTATACCATAACCTACAAATTAAGATTACGCTTGAAGTTTCCAAGCACCCTTGGCCGAATTCGAAGTGGACTTCAAAGCGCACTTCGAATTTGTGGCAATGTAAATGGTACAATGGAGACATCATATGTCAAGCACACGAATTTGACATCCAATTGGTCACGGAATTGAATGTAAATGTACCTTAAAAAGTTTTTTGACACGAATTCCTAACCTATAAATACAAGTATATTTTTGCTCAAATGTTAGATTAGTCAATATTTGTATAGCATAATCGCAAGTGCTTCCATTTGTAGTTAAATTATTTTCATAATCCAAACAAAAAATACATAATTCGAATGCAAATGTGCACTACGTAAACTTAACCATACTTTGATTTAAATTCGCGCGTTCTTTCGTAAAACGTGATCCTACGAATCACGATCTCGAAATCATGATTGCGAAGTAGCCGAAAGAAAGCGCCTATTATTAGGGTTATGAACGTCATTCTGATTGCTTTCAAATTTCGTTTGTAATGTTTTGACAGGAAAAGGCATTCTCTAGAAAAACCACACAAGAGATAATCACCATATAAACATAACAAGTGTCCACAGTATGCAACAATTATTATATACTCTCATCGATATCTGACAAAATGTATGTGTGGGGTAGTACCGTGCACGGAGAGTTGGGCCTTGGTGGTATCGAAGACGAACACATATTAGCGCCGCGACCATTGGAGTGGTTTGGTGCCAACAATATCCAAGAAGCAGCCTGCGGCGATTCCCACTCTTTGCTGCTAACGAAAGAAGGCAAAGTATACTCGTGCGGAAACAACGACTATGGGCAATTGGGACACGAACAGCCAAGAAAAAGGCCACGTATGTCAATGTGTAGTATGTAACCATTCTCACCAAATGTGCTCCCCATGCTTATTATTTTTTAATCCTTCGATTGCTTAATGTAATTTAAACACGCCGTTTTTAGATCAGGTACTTGCCCTCGACGCGTATCGGATATCGCATGTTGCTTGTGGACAATCCCACTCGATGGCGCTTAATGAATGGGGACAAATTTTCACCTGGGGCTCAGATATTCACGGACAGTTAGGACATCAACTCGGCCAACAGACTCAACCAGTTCCAAAAATTTTGAAAGCTCTGGCTACACTTCATGTTGTTCAAATTGCGTGTGGTCATAAACATTCCATTGCCTTAACTAGCGGTAAGTTTGTGGTAGTTCGTTTTTTGATCACTGGGAAAAGAGAAATGTACTTATATGTAACTCAATACAAATCGAGATACAAATGCTCAGAAGGGTAAAGTTCAGTCATTGTATTTAAAACTAAGTTAGTGTCAGGTATTGTAGTTTTTATGGGAGCCCTTATTTTAACTGAATAGGAATTTTAGAGATGACATGAAATTTAATACCAAGTATAATACAATAACTTTCCTTGTGGAAGGGCACGAATATTACTAATGATCTCATATTTTAGAATGATATCTTTGATAGCATAGCTTATACACACAAGCCAGATAAAAATGTGTTTGTGTATTTTTTATTTCCTGTTCACCTCCTTGTTTATTTAATTATTTTTGATTTTACCTAATGGTAAAATGCTCCTTGTCATTTATTTGTTTTAATATCTATAATAATGTAAAGAAATGAAAATGTTTTAAGCTAATAAATTAAGAACCAGCGGCCAACACAGTTAACGTGTTCACCAGAAGGATGAAAATTAAGAGATTATAATCTTGGTAGCTTAATCAGACATTGAGGTAGGTTGCGTCATCATCGCCTACATCTCTAAAAAGATGTGATTGTAATGTGTGCAATGTAGAAAAAGTCGTCAGGTGATGAGGATTCATTTTGTGAAAATTTTCTTTTCTTGTCGCCGAGATTGTCACCCTGAAGGTGATGGCATTTAGTAACTATGCAAGTGTAATACATGTATTTTTCCAGAATGAGTAGCACTTTTGAAATATAAAATAAAATAATGCATGTCGGTCTTTAAGAAAAAAAGTTGATGATGGCCTCAAAATAAAATTTGACCATGTCAGTTCGAGGGGTCATCCATCAAGCAAAATACTGTACACCAAATAGCGATTCGGCAGTATTTACTTGTATTGCCAATAATGCTTGTACTGCTGCTGTATTGTTTAATGCATAATATGAAATGGGTTAAGTGGTAGAGCAGACTACAGTATTTTACTGTGGAACTGAACTTCGCCCCATTTCACCATTTTAAACTGTATTTTTTTTCTTTCGTCAATTTAATAAAGGCATTATTATTATTATTATTTGATTTTCCCGGTCTTGCCGGTTCTAATCCTAGTCAAACGGACTATTGTCAAGTCTGGCTAGTTATTTTTGAGGAAAGTTCTGGTGATGCTGCAGGTTTTCAGTATGACTGCCTTCTGAACGTTATGATGAGTGTATGTATCTAGATCAAGTTGTTGTAAATGTTTTGTGTGTGATTCCTGTTGTTAACTGTGCTAAGACGTGTAATTTTATTGGGTGGACCTGTTTTTGTAGTGCATGTTGCGTTACTTGTATTTATGGTGTTTCTTTGTTCTTGAGGTTGTATCTGTGTGGTTGCTTGGGTTATTGGTGGAGACGTTACAGTATTTTGTGAGCCTGTAGTGCTGTTAAGGTTGTTGCGTTTGGGTTGAGTACGAGTGGGTTGTGATAACGTGGTGTGTTTCTGAGAAGAAAGAGTATTGTGTTTTTTAGTTATTTTTATTATTCTTATTATTATTATTGATTGTATTAGACGTGTGAATGCCCAATGGTAAATTTCTTATTTATGGACAGATCTTACAAAAATGTGAACAGTAGCACCTTTTGGTAAAGGAAAACCTATCGATTATATTAAACGTGTATTTTAAAAAAACGCGGGCATGCGCAGAGATAGATTTCTAATTTAACCCATCATACTCATAAAAAAAATTAAAAAAAGTAGCACCTTTTAATAACGGCTGAAAATTGCTACATCGATTAGATACTTAACTCAATAAAAGGCGAAGCGGTGCGTGAAAAGTAAATGCAGCAAAAGGAAAGTGCTTGGACTCAACAGGTGCTACAGTGCGGAAAAATTAAGTTTTGATCATTGTTCTTTTCGGAGTGGTATATTAATCCCGAGGAGTTGACCGCTGGGCAAATGTGGTGTACAGTCCCGTGGAAATGATGAGCAAATGTTGGACAAATGTAGCAAATGTAGCAAATGTGGAAGAAATGTAGCGAATGTTCAGGGAATGTGGCAAATGTTGAGGAAATGTAGTTAATGTTTATTAACTATGACATATCAATGCGAGTATCAATGATTTGTAAATATAAAGATAAATGTATACCAGGCGCTTTCATTTCGTGAAAATTATGCAAAGAAAGTGTTTTAACATTCGTTCATGTAGTGCAGTCGTAAATAATGTGCTCGAGCAAGGTCATGGTGTTCTATTACACACCATGAGCAAGGTGAATTAATAACGGTGGCGGCACTCCGACTGTTTTATACAGGGTCATTCTGGACGAGCGTCAGTTACAAAGATATGGAGAACCTTTGAAAATGACACTAAACTGATAAATCCTTTAAGGGTTTTGGCACATGATGAATTGAACTAAAATATTTTCAAGATGGCGCCACACTTCCACAAATACCGGAAGTAGCCATCAATTTTGTTATTTTAAATAGGGACCCCCTATTTTTTCTACACTTTCGAATTCTACGTCAAATTTGGAGTACAACGATACCCTATAGTTGACCCTTTGCTCCAAGGGCTTCGTCGATAATCAAGTTTTTATGTCAAAAATGGAATTTGCAGGGGTAATTTTAAAAATTTATTATTCGAAAACGGTGAGAGATATTAAGGAAAGATCGACTTTTCTTATGGTATGCGTAACCGTCTAAAAAGTGAGACTACGTCACTCTTTCAAAGCTCTCAACTTTTAAATTTTTAAATATTCGTAACACCATTTTTTCAAATGGCCCCCCCCCCCCCCTCACATTTTTTTCTTCACTGATGTCCTTTTTCCGAGACTTTTAATTTGATACAAAATGTCAGAGGCTGCTTCAAACGGTTTCCAAGATATTCCATGTTTTAGTCACTTCTTGTAGCAAATTGATTAATAAAAATTAATAAATTTTTTTTAATTACCCCTTCAAATTCCATTTTTGACATAAAACCTTGAATTTCTTTATTCTTTAAATATTCCAGCTATCATAGTATAAACTATATCAGTCTCGATATCAGTGTCGTCAAACATATATAAACTAGTGCATCTACTAACAGAGCAATCTACACATATAAATAAAATCATAAAAGGTCAAGTTAAAATACAGTAAAACACTTAAGTAAAATAGACAAAATATCAAAGAATATTAGAACACCAATCAGTAAGTAGAAACTCTTCAAAAGTGTAAAAAGCGTTAATCTTAAGGTAACTAATCACAGCATTTCTTAATTAGTCGATTTATCGACGAAGCCCTTGGAGCAAAGGATCAACTGGTTGTACTCCAAATTCGACGTAGAATCCGAAAATGTAGAAAAAATAGGGGGTCCCTATTTAAAATAACAAAGTTGATGGGCACTTCCGGTATTTGCGGAAGTGGCGCCATCTTAAAAATATTTTAGTTCAATTCATCATGTGCCAAAACCCTTAAAGGACTTATCAGTATAGTATCATTTTCAAAAGTTCTCCGTATCTTTCTAACAGTCGTCAAGAATGACCCTGTATAGGAAGTGCGTGTACCAAATCTGCCCTCGTATATTGCTGACCTTCCACGTTGAGATAAAACGCCTAAATCTCCGTACAATATGCGCATGCGAAAGAAACGTCAAAGTTCAAAGTTGCAATTTGTTATTAATTAAAATGTAGGTTAGGTTTTCATCACAGGCTATTATAATGAATAAACATATTCGTAATGTACATTTAAACTCGCACTTTTGAGGTTGTTATACCAAGAGCCATGTTTCGCTGCAGCAGTATAAAATCCGAAAAGGACAGTCGTTTTTTTGTTTCTATGATCATTAATAAGATGATTCTGAAGTTGTAACTCATACAATGTGTTGATGTACCTACCCATTGGTTACACAGGCCAACACGATTTTTGACTTTGATAGGAGAATATGAAATTTTGATACATTTATTGATAGTTAGACAAAATAATATATAGGGCCTGAAAAAGTTTGCTTTTGTATCCAGGAGAGCCGTTGACCAGTATTTTAGAAAATCCAGAATTGAAATTTTTATTTATCGATAAATCGAAACAAATGTGTATGAAACTTTCACTATCATATCCAATTTAAAATAGTAAAAAAAGTTTAGTAGTGAATCCTATTACTCTTTTTTCCGTGTTCATAAGTACTCTCACTCTCACTAAACCCAAAAACAAAATATAGTCCCCCATCACACTTTCGTTGTATTTATCATGATAATGTTGCTCAAAGTTCATAATATCTTGATAACACGTTCTACTCATTTTTCTGAGTAGGTACGCCCTCATATAATAAATAATAATAAAAATAATCATATTTATTTTTTTTTTGCAAAAAATTGTTCACCTTCTAAAGGTCTTTTGTAGTTACTACAAGCAACATGTGAAGCCCAGGAGGTGTCTAGATTCCGAATGGGGCAGTTAAAATAGGTTTCGTAAGCTTCATAACGTTTTTTACAGACATTTAAAAAAAATTTTAATAAATATACCATAGACACGAACTTATAAGTTAAGATGTACTGCTAATGCTGAATTGACAAATGACACCTACATGGGGGCAGCCATGATGTGCACTTACTTGGCGCGAAATTCAAATCAACTAATAAACAAGCATTAACCTCACGTTTTCTAAATAAATTACTGTGACACATGTCATTTTCCAAGACTGCAATAGTCTCAAAACTTGAGCACTAGGAAAATTCCCTAGAAAATAACTAAAACGTGCACATCATGGCGGCGCCCATTCTAGGGCCATTTCTACCTCTATGCAACTGTTTGATCAGCAGTCCATCTTAATTTAAAAGTTCGTGACCATAGACCACATAGGTATATAAAAATATGCATCAGCATCATATTTCCACTTTCTTGACCACATTTTAACCTCTATGAGTCTTCTAGAAAATATTCAAATGACCCGCGCAAATGCTTGTACATATATTTAAATGTATGTAGTACCTCAATGATGAGCAAATGTAGCAAATTTCTGGTAAATTTATAGCGAATATAGCAAATGTTGTTTTATGTAGTAAATGTAACAAATGTTGTGGAAATGTAGTAAATGTAGCAAATGTGGAAAATGGCAAATGTGGTGTACACAATTTTGCGCAGTGGTTACCCCCTCGATTGATCCCTTTACAGAAAACAATTTGTTTTATCTACAGGGTGGTTTTTTATGAGAACACCCTTTATTTTAAGAGATTGAAAAACATAGATCAAGGTGTCTGGATAACTCTTTAATTGCACAACCTTTCCCTAATTTGACCACCTTTGTATCTTGTATGAGATAATAATAATAATAATAAAGTTTATTAT